TGTGAATGAGATAGCTTTGTTTAGATTGCTTCGTTGTGTTGTTGTATCAACGTATCTCATCATATCTTCTCCAGTCTTCCAAGGATGCTATTTATAGCTGGATTGGATAATCTATCCGTTGAATCATAATAGACTATCCGTTGCATTTGCTGGCTTCAATTTTGAATGAAGATTGTGATTTGAAGATTCTTTGTTGAAGTGGGTGTTTGGACGTACCCAATTGTTGAGAAAGGATTCCTTTTTCCACAGAATCCGTCTTCTAGCTGTTGTTCAAGAATTCAAGACTGTAGCACTTTACTCTGTTTGTCCTCTAGTGCTTGTTTAGGAATTCTGGACAGGCTCTTCAATTTTAGAGGTCCAGACTTTGTCTTCGAGTAGTTTGTTCTTGAATCAGCATAATTATCTTCAATTTAGCCGTTGAAAATCAAGAGATTGATTTTTCCTTACCAACGGGTAGAATTTCTTCATTCAGGACTTAGATAATTTTCTAAGTCTTTTCTCACTTGTCCGATTTCTGAGAATTCCGGTCTTCAGTGAGTCTTCCGATTCTTAGCTGACAAATCCGGAGGAGTCATTTTCATACTTCCGGGTGAGAAAGAGATCCGCGCTAGTCTTCCGATTTGGATGACTTAGCCTTCAGCGGGTTGTAGCGAGACATCCGGTTCTTATGTAGTCTTCCGGATCTGAGGATTTTCATCTAATTGAGAAATCCTTACTTTTCTCTGACATTTCCGATCAAGATATCCAATTTTCATATCACTGAATTTGATTAAGTCTTCAGGCATCAAAACGCTTAAAGAAACATCACAGCTTTATTGGAAATCTCAAGAACTCGGTTTTAACAATATTTCTAAAATGAAAAATTACATTGAATAATGGGGGAGACCTAAAGTCCCTAATACATTCTAAATACATCATCATCAAAGTCTATAATATTTTTCCCAACAATTTCCCCCTTTTTGATGATGACAGACAAGTGTTTAAGAGTTCCGGTCGCTGTACTGAGAACTAATTTTATAACTTTCTTTTAGTTTCTCATAATATACAGCTTTTTAACAAAAACTCTTAAGCAAATACAATTCAAATTACAATAATTCTTAAACCAAGTCTTGTCTTGAGATTTTGTGATATCTTCCGCCATTGACCGTTTTCAGCTGCAGCAGAACCTGCTTGGCAGAGCGGTTGGCATTGCGTTTGATAGATCTTTAATATCAAAAGTGGATATTCAAGATCTTGGAAGCAACACATCTCTCAAAAAATAAAAATAAAAATGAAAGAAGAAAACAAAAGAGAGATAAAATGACAAGAAAGAAAAGGTTTTGGAAAAGAGAATTGATTGTGAAAAAGATAAAATAATAATTTTTAAAGATGAAGGAAAAAACAAAAAAAAATTTAAAAGAAATTTTGAAAAAGAGTTTTAGAAAAAAAAAAAAATTTGAGAACTCCTTGAGAGAAGGGAGCAGAGGCACCACACAAAAAAAAACTTGTAAGAAGAGTGGGGCGACTGCTAAAAAAAATTTAGAAAAAGTAAAGAAAGGAAAGGGGAGGGGAAAGAGATCAAGGTAAAAATAAAAAGAAAAATAGAGAGAGTGTTGTTCCAGAGAAAGTGTATGGTATAATCCTGAAAAATACGAGAATTACACCATAAACTTTCTCTACTGCCGAGAATTGCACCATAAACTTTGAATTACTTTCCTTCTCCCTGGGCTTTTCTCCATTTCCGTCTATGAGGGTGAGAAAGAAAAATTTCTCCATTGAGGATATTTTCTTGGTGTTTTTCTCAGACAGTGAGCTTGAAGACTTTCATATTTAGAGAGTTGTTTGTGATGGAAATGGATTGGGATATTTTGATTTAAATAGGGGAGGAGGAGGTTCACGGGTTCCATTAAGTGGGTAGTTGGAACGGTGAGAGTAAAGGAGTTTCAACTTCCAAGAAGTTGAAAAGTAAAAGGAATCTTTTACCAGTTACCAATGAATTGAAACTATTCCAATTAGAAAATCAGTTTCATTTGGTTTGAGAAACGTAACTGTTTTAGTTTGGCTAAGCCCAAAAGAGTGGCCCAAAAAGAAAAGAAAGCTATGTACTAAAGGGAAATTATTCCTATTGGGTTCTCAAGGCCCAAAATAAGACTATCATTTTTCATTCCCTATAGTTCTAATTTCTACTTAGGACGAGGTAGTACCAAAACAAATATGAATTTTTATTTTTAAAAGAAAAGTGGTACTATTTTTCCAAAGTCATGTACATTATAAAAATCCTAAGGACCAGTACTTTTAGAGCTAGTTGGAAATGAATGAAGGATTAAAGCTTAGTTTAAGAATGCAGATTTTGTAAAGTACCTGAATCGGAGATTTCCAATTTTAGTACCAACACTGAGATATCCGACTTCCATCGCTTAGAGCTCATCAATGATTCATAGCCAAAAACAATTGTTAGCCAAAACTAGTTAAGTTCCCCCTGAATTACATTCCCCCCTGAATGTATGCGCTTCAGAAAAAATAATTAAGACAAAATCATACTTGAGATAAACATAATCAAGCATAATAAGCGCAATTAAGAAAATTTTTGGGAAGCAATGTTGCAATGTTTAAACCAATCAAGCAATGTTTAAACAAGAAGGTGTTTTCATCAAAACAAATTAGTGTTTTCACATACTTTCCCCCTGGTTTGATGAAAAGAACCTTCAGTTCCTCTTGCGTTTTGAAGATCCGGCAACCTCACTGATGCCCTGCATGTTCCCACACAGTTCTTTGATGCGCCTTAAATATTCACGCCTTTCCTCTGATTGAGCAGCATCTGAGAAGTGGTCAACAAATGCACCTATAAATTCTGTTCCATCCAGTCCTGAGCTGGATAGGTGCTATGCTGAGTTTTCCGGATTTCTTTGCTGTGCTTCAAGGATCAGATTAGTCATGTTCAGATGAGAAGGGATATAAGATGCTTCTCCTTCTTTGACTGCAATAGGGAGCTGTGGTATTGGAGATGGAATGTGTTGTTGGAGAATCACTTCCATCTTGCGGTTCCCAGAATGTGCACCAATAAGTCTGAACAGCTTGTATGCTTCCTTTTGATTGTCAATGATCACCTTCAAGTAGTCTTTGGTTACTACCTGATTTGCTGAAGCTACTGCTAGGGCTGATCTGATGTCCATTTGAAGAAGGGACATTTGTTTTTGTAGACCAACTGTGACACTCGCTATTTGCTCTTTGACTTTGTTGAATTCTTTGAATTGAAGTTGACTATCAGAGGCATATATTTCCATAGTGTTGCTCACAGTGTTACTCAATAGAGAGATGATCTCTAGAGTCTTGTCTACTGATTTACCTATCTCTTTTAGATCTGCGCTGTGTTTCTCTTCTGATTTCTCTAGCAGTTGAGTGTACTTGGCTTCCATTTGCTTTATCTCTTGCCTAAAGGAGGCATGTTGAGATGCTAGGGCTGATTCAATCAGCCCTTGGACCTTCTTTGTCCAGATTTCCGGTATCTCATCCGGAAGGGTATGAGTGGAAGAGCTATGAAAATGGAAGTTGGTTACCTGATGAGAAGATGGTGTTCTTTGGAAGAGTTGCATAGGAAGAGATTCAACATCTTCTTGTACATCTTCTTCATCAGTGACCTTCAGTGTTCTTTCAGATTCACCTTCTGCTTCTTCAAGCGCAAAATTTTATATATCCCTAGAGAGGGAGTCTCTTTCTTCATCTGCATTTTGTTCTTCAAAAATGGCTACTGGAGTTTGACAGACCTCCACTTCTGCCATTTGAGTTTCCTTTTCAGCTTCTCCAGAGTTCCTTTGCACTTCAAAAGCTTGCTCTATTGTTTCTGGAAGAGCTGACTATTCTGGAATTTCTGCTGACTTCTCCAGGATCTCAGTTTCAGTAGGATTGGAGATCTCACAAGGAGTTGTGAGAGTCTCCAAAACTTGAGATTGGATTAGTTGCTGAAATTCTTCTTCTTCTGCTGCTGTTTCCTGGTTCTGTTCTTGTGGGGGAGAGGTTGCCTTCTCTTGAACAACTTCAGTTAGAACCATTTCAGAAGCATGTGAAGTTTCCTGAAATGCAGGTGAGGTTTCCGTTTCGAAGGCAGGTGAGGTTTCCGGAAATGTTTGGAAACCCTCAGCTGTTACTTCCAAAGTAGTATGTGCTTCAGAAGTGAGAGCCACTTGATCTTCTATAGCTTTTGAGAAGACTGGCTTGAAGACTGCAGTGTCTTCATCATCTGCTTCACAGTCTGAAACTGGTGTGTCGGCTAGGTATTCCAGATGCAACTCTTCAGGGTTCCTTTGCCATACCCAGTAGTCATCCAAAATTTGTTCACAGTTGTGGTTGACTGGTATTCCTAAGCACTTCTTGATGATCTTCTCATTCTTCAGCTGTTGGTCCCAATTCAACAGTTGCTCTGCTGAATTCCCAACTTTCCAGGCTTTCCAATCATAGTATAGCTGCCAGAATTGGTTATCTGCATCATCTGTTTGAGGCTGAGATGAGGTTGGAAAGCTTTGGTCTTGAGGAGTTTCTTCTTCAGATTGTTGAGGGTTCCGGTTTTGAACATAGGTTTCCTCAGCAGGTTCCTTCTCCTTCAACTCATCCGGATTGACATTTCCAGATGTTGATGGAGAGTTGATCTTTCTCTTCTTCTTCCTTTGAAGTTCTCCATTGTCAGAGATTTCTTCTTCCTCTTCCAAACAGATCAAGGCAAGGTTCTGTGGTGCTTCAACACTTGGAGAGGGGGACACCACATGCTTTCTCTTGGCAGTCTTTGCCAAATTGATGAGTGGAACATTGTCTGATGAGCTTTCTTCTGCAGTGGCACTAGCACTAGCTATGTTTTCTCCTTTGGAGGATAAGTAGTATAGCCAGTATCTGGCTTCATACTTTTTCCCTTTAGAAGCAGCACCTAAGGACTCCAAAATGTGTCCAATATACAGACCTTGACAGAGATACTTCTGATTGTGCTTTCCTAGATGTTTTGAAATGGATTTGAAAAAGTGTGCAGCCTAGTTTACCTTAGTTTTGGTAATGAGAGAGTTGATGATGAAGGCTCTCTCCTGGGTGATGTCATCGGCATGACCTCCACTCCCACATTCGAGGCAGGCGATGACCAGTTCCAAAACCAACTTGTAATCGTTGTTTAGATCTGCTTTCTTTGCCGCGCCAGAAGGAATTCGCCCAGAGATTCCAATGATGTTCCAGTCCAGATTTTGGACTGGAAATTTCCCAACTTCAGTTCCAGAATTGGGAAGGCGAAGCTTTTCTCCCAATTTCTTCTGCGAAAGCTTTACTTTTGTACCCCCAACAGTGGACTTGATGACTGGAAACGTCCTCTGTGGGTCCTTCTTTGAATGGGCAGTTTTGGTTTCTCCATTTCTTTAGAATTCAAGAACTTCTTCCTCGAATTTGAGGCGAATCTCCATTTGAAGAAATTCGGAGAGTTCTTGAGCGGCTATCATCTCCAGATAGTTTTGAAAGAATGTCGGTGAGGAGCACTTGGCTTCTAACTTCTGGAAGTTGACATTTGCGCCGACAACCTTCATTTTCTCAGAAATTTGGGTGAAAATTCGAGAGAGAAAGGCCTAGGGTTCTTGCGAGTTCTTGAGAATTTTTCGCGAAGAAGACGATGAAAGAAATTTTGAGTGGGCGGTTGAGATCTGAATAGTGGCGATTGGGTTTTAATTTAGGCGATTTTGCGGCTAGTGGCGATTGGGTTTTTGACTATTCCCAAGGCCACGTGCCTACCCAATATATTGACAGACGTGGAAAGTAGTTCGCCACGTGTACCGCACTTAGTCTAATTGAATTAGACCAATTTTGTGAAGCAAATCGGAAAACTTGGCTTCACTTAGTGGTTTTGTGAAGATATCCGCCAGTTGTTCTTCAGTTGAGATATACTCAATTTTGATATCTTTCTTTTCCACATGATCTCTGATGAAGTGATGCTTGACATCAATGTGCTTAGTGCGAGAATGATGCACTGGGTTTTGAGAGATGGCTATGGCACTTTGATTGTCACAAAAGATTGTCACTTCCTTTGTCTTGACTCCATAGTCTAGTAGTTGTTGCTTTAGCCACAAAATTTGAGCACAACAACTACCAGCTGCAATGTACTATGCTTCTGCTGTTGATGTAGAAATGGAGTTTTGTTTCTTACTGAACCAAGAAACGAGATTTCCGCCAATGAATTGACAAGTACCAGACGTACTTTTCCGGTCAACTTTGCATCCGGCAAAGTCAGAGTCTGAGTATCCCACTAACTCAAATGAATTGCTCTTAGCATACCACAATCCCATGTTCTGAGTTCCCTTGAGGTATCTAAGAATCCTTTTAGCTGCTATTAGATGACTTTCCTTTGGCTTTGACTGGAATCTGGCACAAACACCTACTGCATATGAGATATCCGGACGGCTTGCAGTAAGGTAGAGTAGAGATCTGACAATTCCTCTATAGAGAGTTTGATCTACATCCTTTCCATTTACATCCATATCAAGCTTGGTGGATGTACTCATGGGGACAGAAACGGATGACTTCTGATCAACTTTGAACTTCTTGATAAGATCCCTTGTATACTTGGCTTGATTGATGAGAGTGCCTTCACTTCTCTGTTTGATCTGAAGGCCAAGGAAGTAGTTGAGTTCCCCCATCATGCTCATCTCAAATTTTCCTTGCATGAGGGTGGAGAACTTGGTGCAGAGATCTTCCTTTGTTGATCCAAATATGATGTCGTCCACATAGATTTGGACTAATAAGAGATCTTCACCATCTTGTAGTTTGAACAAGGTCTTGTCAATGACTCCTTTGGTAAATCCATTGTCTATAAGAAATTGAGACAATGTATCATACCAAGCTCTTGGTGCGTGTTTGAGTCCATACAGCGCCTTTTTGAGTCTATACACCTGATCTCCCTTAGTGTGTAACTCAAATCCTGGAGGTTGTTCCACATAAACTTCTTCCTCGAGGTTTCCATTGAGAAATGCGCTTTTGACGTCCATTTGATAGACCTTGAAGTCTTTATGAGCAGCATAGGCTAGAAACAGCCTTATAGCTTCAAGTCTAGCAACTGGAGCGAAGGTTTCATCAAAATCTATACCTTCTTCTTGACAATATCCTTTTGCAACTAACCGGGCTTTGTTTCTGACAACAACGCCGTTTTCATCCATCTTGTTCCAGAAGACCCACTTTGTCCCAATGACATGTTGATGAGCAGGTCTGGGAACAAGTTTCCAGACGTCATTTCTGGAAAACTGGTTGAGTTCTTCTTGCATTGCATTTATCCAATCAGAATCAGCTAGAGCTTCTTCAATATTCTTTGGTTCCACTTGTGAGATGAAACAAGCAAGCATAGCTTCTAGATTCTGTTGGGCACGCCTTGTGCGAACACATGATTGAATATCTCCAATGATCTGTTGAGGAGGATGATCCCTTAACCAACGAAGATTGTGTTGATTGGGATCGACTGGTTGATCTAGTTCAGCTTCTGGTTGAAGAACAGAGGTTGTTGGTGTTTCCGGATAGATTGGCACTGGGTCGCCATTTCCGGAGTTGTCGTCGTTTGAGAGATCCGGAATATTGGAAGGCTGGCCAAAATTTCCGGAAGGCTCAGCACTGTCTAAATCCGGATTTCTCTGTGAAGTCTTCAGAGGCAGACTTCTGAATGGAATGAATTCCGTGGGCTTCATTCTATCTCTTTCATTGACTTCTTCATCCTTGTCTGATAGATCCAGAACCTCATGATCATGCTTTGATGGTTTGTCAACCACATGTTTTTCATCAAAAATAACATGTATTGACTCTTCAGTGATCATGGTTCTTTTGTTGAAGACTCTGAATACCTTGCTTACCATGGAATATCCTAGGAAGATGGCCTCATCTGATTTCTCATCAAAAGTGTTCAGATGATTCTTCCCGTTGTTTAACACAAAGCACTTGCTCCCAAAAATATGGAAATATGATATATTAGGCTTTCTCCTGTTCCATAGTTCATAGGGAGTTTTGTTGTGCCTTTTATAAATCATACTCCTATTTTGAGTATAGTAGGCTGTGTTAACAGCTTCAGCCCAGAACCTCTTTGGTAAGGAAGCTTCTGCTAGCATGGTTCTCACTGCTTCTTTCAGGGTTCTGTTCCTTCTTTCAGCTACACCATTTTGTTGAGGTGTCCTTGCTGCAGATGTCTAATGAAGAATTCCGTTTTCTTCATAGTAGTGAATGATGATTTCATTCAGGAATTCTGTGCCTTTGTCAGATCTGATCTTCTGAATGGTCTGACTTGCTTGGTTTTGAATCAGCTTCATGCAGTTTGTGAGTTTCCCTTGAGTTTCCTTCTTGCCGTTGAGGAAGATTGTCCACGTGTATCTTGAGTAATCATCAACTACTACCAGGACATATTTCTTTCCACTTAGACTTATTGGTGTTACAGGGCCAAATAAGTCCATGTGAATAAGACTTAATATCCTTGTAGTTGAGGGTGCCGATTTTGCCTTGAAAGTGGACTTGACTTGCTTTCCTTTCTGGCAAGCATCACAAATACTTTCCTTTCTGAATGCAGCTTTGGGAAGACCTTCTACTAACCCTTCTTTGGACAGCTTGTTGAGAGTTTTGAAGTTGAGATGACTCAACCTCTTATGCCAAAGCCATAGAAGGTTAGTGTCACCTTTGCTGATTAGACATGCTTCCTTGACATTGTCCCACATTACTTCATAGATGTTTCTGATTCTCTTCCCAGTGAGAATGACTTCATTTGTGGAGATGTTCTTGAGAGATGCCATGTCCTTGCAGAATTCCAAGGA